TGGGCCTGCATGGGGCATGGCTCACCTAGGGCCAAGGCCGCGAGGAAGGCAGTGATGACGCTGCTCGTGCACAGCACTGCCACCTTGGTCCAATCCAACTCCTCTCGGGATATCACGCCCAGCAGCAGGGAGGCCAGCGCAGCCAGGAGCCCCACGATGGTGGCCTGCACCTGCCAAGACAGAAATCAGACCCATGAGAAGGTTCCCTGGCCACTGCCACCCTCCCTGTCCTTCTGACTCCTGGTCACCTCAAGGATCAAACAAGGCCCTCATCACTACCTCACACCCTTCACCCTGGACCATACTGGCAGCTTTCCTCAGCACTTCCCTCCAAGGTGACTCCATGGAGAGCCTCCCTGTCTACCCCTGTCCCATGTGAGATACCACCTGCAAGTGGGGAACAGGGTCTTAGAGGGACGCCTGCCTCTGGCTCAGAGCTCCAGGCTGGCCCAGGTGTATACTCTACAACCCAGATAGTAGCCACTTACTGGCCTCCCAGGCCCACAGCATTATCACATATGCCTGCCTCACGCCCCAACTGTCCTGTCCCCAGCTCACATCATCATTACAGCTACTTCTCTGCCTCTGGAGCATGAGGCTCTGGGCCACTAAAGTCCCTCAGCACCTAGAGCCCAGGTCTGAGGCAGCATCAGGACCCCGAGTTCAGAATGTCTGTGTGGAATGGTGCCCATTACCAAAGGGTGGAGGAACACAGGCGGAGCCCTGTGATGTCTGTGGACAAGAAAAGCAGGTGAGCACACGTGTGTGCACCTGTCGGAGGGGAAGTTCTTGGGGATCGCTCTTCAGGAGCTGTCCACTGCAGTTTTTTTGTGAGAGGGGTTGGGGGCACATGCGGAGGTGAGAGGGCCACTGGCTGGAGTCAGTTCTCTCCCTCCACATGTGGGTATCTGGGATCAAACTCAGATCCTCGGGCTTGGCTGCAGGAACCTTCATGTGCTAAGTCATCTCACAGGCCTCTATTTGAGTTTTTCATCTACTTATATATGTATGTACTTATTCATTGATCTGTCTATAATATTTTGTGTGTGGCCGGTGAGGGGCACACATGTGTATGTGGAGGTCAGAGGATAACTTGTAGGAGTTGGTTCTTTGCTTCACCATGTGGGTTCCAGGGATTGAACTCGGGTCATCGGGCTTGGCAGCAAGTGCTCTTACCAGCTGAGCCATCTCGTGGCCCCCCCACCCCTCATTCTTTGAGACATGGACCTGGGGCTGTTTTCACATGAGGCTGGCTGGCCAGCAAGCCCTAGAGATCTTCTTGTCTCTGCCTCCTCAGTGCTGGACTTCATGATCACAGCACCACACCCAGCTTTTTACGTCAGTTCTGAAGATCAAACTCAGGTCTGAAGCTTGTGCAACATGTATAACAACAAGAATCCCAAGTTAACCAACGTCATCCCAGCCAGAGTCCCCATAACCAATGTGATCCCAGCCAGAGTCCCCATAACCAATGTGATCCCGGCCAGAGTCCCCATAACCAATGTGATCCCGGCCAGAGTCCCTATAACCAATGTGATCCCGGCCAGAGCCCCACAAGATTTCTCATGGTGCCTGATGACTCACTCAAAAAGCCCAGAGATGAGTAACCACATGTGCAGAGCCAAGACACTTTAGTGGAAGGAGGTCCGGGGGAATTCCTAGCATATATCAGATACACTGTACAATATGAATCAAGATGCGCATAAAGCTGGAGAGATAAAGGCAGGGCAGCACTTCCAGAAAGAGACACTCAGACCACAGGCCAGAAGGGAGCCCAGACAGTGAGCACAGGACACTGCTCTATAAAATGAGGCTAGCAAAGAGGGGATGAAGAGGGGATATCCTGGATGCATGACTTCAGAGAGTGGATATTAAATACCCAGGGCAAGGGAAACTGAGTGACTATAACCAGGAGAAAGGTGGACTGACCCCCCACCCCACAAACACCCTGAAACACTAAACACCAAGGCGTGACTTAAAGGGATATATGACAGTCTGTTAAGAGTGTTGCAGTCTGCCATGGTTTGTGCATGTCTGTTCCCACATGAACCATGGCAGGAGGAGCAAGACATCACGGTCAGCTGAGCTATTATACATGGAGACCTAGCAAAACCAAATGAATGTTTAAAGAGATCTCGGACCAGCAAAGGCCTTCTTTTAAAAATGCAACATAAAGCCAATAAAGAAAAGCACAAAGCTGGACATGGTAACACATGCCTACAGTACCTGCTACTCTAGAGGCTGAGGTGAGGTCACAGACCAAGGCCTGCCTGGGCCACAGAGTGAGTTCAAAGCCAGCCTGGGCAAAACATAAAGCAAATAAATAAAAGCAGGGATACGGCCGGGTCGTAGAGCACTCACCTAGATGCATGTGGTTCAATTGTACTGAAAAAAAAGCACCTATATATAGTATATTATATATAAAATTTATATGATTCCTATATGATAAATGATACCATGGAGTCATGGAGAAAATAATTGACTCCCCTAGTTTTCAGGACGATTCTAAGTAGAATATGATAGGAAGCATGTCACTGGATGCTGGAGTTCCTCGGCGTCTGGCACTAAGGATACGGCCCAAATACTCACATACGGTTAGTGAATGCCTGTTCTTTATCCTTCAGGCCTTGTGCTGTTACTTTGAATTCAGAACGTCCTCAGAGACTTGTGCGAAGCGTATAACAACAAGAATCCCAAGTTAACCAACACCATCCCAAACAGAGTCCTCATAACCAACGTCTGGTCTTCAGCTATAAGACGGTGTGTGGATCATTGAGAGGCAGTTTCTCGGGGGATCTTAGGTCACTGGAAGAGTATTCTCATTCTAATTTACTTCCTGGACATCATGAAATAGCTTTGCTCCATCATGCACCACTATGGACCCAATAGTGACAGTAATCTAGGAAACGGTGAGCCAAGACAAACCTTCCCTCTGCACACGTGGAATGTCTCAGGCACTTTGTCGCAGTGACGGAAAACAGACTTGTATGCTAGGTAAGACTGACCCTGAAAGGTGCTAAGAGGAAACGTACTGACAAGTATGTGGGAAGCTGGTCCTCGTTCACTAACGGTACTACAAACTAGAATGGGAGTTGGGGTGGGTTGGGGTCCTAGCATCTCTTCCAGAGAAGCATTTGCGTGTGTGACCAGAGTTGGGGTAACAGTAAATAGACAGGAGTGGCTGGTGGTTCACACACTGCTTTAGCCATGCTGCTCAGTGAGGCTAAGTCATCACAGGATGAGATGTCAGAAAAGAACTCCATGTCCGTAAGTCAGAGGTCTCCATGGGCATGTACATAAAGATGGGGAATACAGGGAGTTCTGGAGGGATACTTTCATCCTGGTAAGGTAACGGAGCAGCCAGGGATGCAACCACGCTACTGCTTGTACAAGTTACTCAATATTCAACAGCCTGATTATTTTGTGTAGAAAAAAATCTAAGCTTAAAACTGTATAGAAGGTCACGTGGTTCAGTAACAGAGTGCTGATCCAGTTCATGTGAGACTCTGGGCTCCAGTTCCAGCTCTTCTAACAGACAGACAGACAATAAGCCTTAATGGAAAGGAGAATGTAGCCATGCTAGCATCACTTAGTAAATAAAACAAAGTCTACGGAGAACTGAGGCTATGCTGGGGATGTTGTGAATGTGTTGCTCTGATTGATTGCTAGATAAAACGCTGATTGGCCAGTAGCCAGGCAGGAAGCATAGAATAGGACAGAGAGAGAGAGGAGAATTCTGGGAAGTGGTAGGCTGAGTCAGGAGATGCTGCCAGCCACCATCATGAGGAGCAGAATGCAAAGTACGGGTAAGCCACAAGCCACGTGGCAAGGTACAGATTAAGAAATGGGTTAATTTAAGATAGAAGAACAGATAGCAAGAAGCCTGCCATGGCCATACAGTTTATAAGTAATATAAGCTTCTGAGTGATTATTTTATAAGTGGGCTGCAGGACTGGAGAGGTTTGGCGGGACCCTGAGAGAAACTCTCCAGCTACAAGGCTATGGCCCCTGAGACAGAGCAAGGGTGTGGGAGTCTGGCATAGGGTACTCGGTGGCTATCTTCAGTCTCTCTGGGGAGCCCACACACACCATGAGAAGTTACACAAGTTCACACTGAGGGGCTGGAGAGATGATTAAGAGCAGTTAAGAGCACTTGAGCTCTTGCAGAGGACCCAGGTTCAATTCCCACAACCCTCATGGTGTTCACAGTTGTTTGTAATTCTGTCCCAGGGGATCTGATGCCCTCTTCTGGCCTCTATGGGTACCAGGCATGCACATAGCACACAGGCACACATGCTGACAAAATACCTATCTACATAAAATTAAAGGCAAAAAAGTCTCATGCTGAGAATAAACAACTATTTAGTGCTCAGCCCTATCCAAGACACGGACATTAGCCTCCCCACGGCTCAGGGAATGTCACAGAAGAGGTAGCAGAAGAGCATCGGAACAGGAGGGTGGGACAAGAGCTGTGAAATGCCATCTTCCGGGCACGGCCATCGGAACAGGAGGGTGGGACAAGAGCTGTGAAATGCCATCTTCCGGGCACGGCACTCATGAACTCACTGCAGAGCTATGTTCACCGGCCCGAGATCGCGCCAACAAGACCAGCCACTGCTCCAGGAGGCGGCACTGATTGGACTCAGTGGGTCACCATAAAAGAGCGGGGAGGGCATGAAGGGGAGAGGGATGTGTGGGTGGTGTTCAGGAAGGTGTGGGTGAAAACAGAGTGGACATGCTCAAGGTACACTGAACACATGAGAGAAACTGTCAAATAAACTCTAGAAATTATTCTAGAATTTCACCTTTGGTTTTTGTGACTCAAATTTAAGCCCTTTTAAAATGGAAGAAACATGTCATATGTAAGCTACGTCTGAGGCAGCATGTAATGTGGTGGGATATCTGTACCCTGTGTGAAGGTGTACTGCTGTGACTAGTGTAATAAAAGGCTGAATGGCCAATAAGTAGGCAGGAGGTTTAGGCGGGATTTCCGGGGAGAGAAAGGAAGAGGAGGAAGAATCTAGGCACATAGGAGATGCAGATAGGAAACAGGAGGTGCAAGATGGAAGAGAGGTAATGCCATGTGATAGAATGTAGATTAATATAAATAGGTTAATTTAAGTTATGAGAACTAGTTAGGAACAAGCCTAAGCTATAGGCCGGGCTTTCATAATTAATATGAAGTCTTGCATCATTATTAGTGAGCTGCTGGCCCAAAGAATAATCCAACTACAATGTAAGTCTAGCCAGGCCCAGGAAAGCTTCATAAGTCCTGAAGCTCTCTATGGGAAAGGTTCTAGAAAGGCTGGAGCCACATGCCAGTGCTGGGTATTTGTTACCCCCTCACCTGACCCCCTGCTATGGACCTGAATGCTGCTTTCATCTCTCAGCTACTCAGCCACAGGCTTGGTTCTGGCTGGTAAGACTCAGCCCAGGTACAGAAGGCAAGAGAGAGCATGGACCGGGATAGTAGGGTGGGAGGCACATCCACTGTAACCAAGAGGGAGAGGGCTGGAGGGTGGTACACACACTGTACCCGAGAAGGAGAG